TTTTTGAAAACCAAATACAGAAGTAATCAATCAGCAGTAAAATCTAGAAAAGGAAATTAACGTGATCATCATCCCCATCTTTAATGGAATAATTTGTGAGATTGACCACTACCTATTAAACTCACAACCTGAGCAAAGATCTCTTTGATCTTTACTGCTCCTGGACATTTCCTGCTACTTTCTAGAGCCTATTTGATGTCTATTGGCCTGCCTTCAGGTTTTCCTTTCTAGGCACTGAAGATAAGCTAAGTAAACTCAATGAGAAGAAGAAGAATCTGCTTAGTCTCTTTTCCTCTAAGGGGTAAAGAAAGTGAGGAAGCTTGGGACAATTTTAGTAGTAAGTGAATTTTACCTTCTCAATTAAGTCTTCCTTTTTAGGAGATAATAATGAATGGCAGAGGATAGCTTTGGGCTTGAAGAGAGATGGGGAGGGTGATATGGTCCAAAGACTTTCTTGACTTTCCACTAATACTTGAAGACCTCTGAAGAACTTCTCTGGTCAGCCCCTCATGTATTCTCTGGTATCACCTCCCAGATGTTGCTATGCCAGTGAATGTTCTATTTTACACCAGAAGTCTGTGCCCTGTCACTGCAGAGCTGCAGACTTACACAGAAAAGTCAAGGGAGTAGCATGATTTGGACATGAGTCTTGGAGAGTTCCTGGGCTGTGCAGTGAGGCCCAGGAGCTGGGAAGTACTCCCATGATTGTAATAGACAGATAGCAAGACTGTCTTTCAGTGGTGGGACTCATTTAGGGGGAGCTGTGGCAGGAACTCATTCAGGCATCCATATTCTGCATGTAAGCCTAGGTCCTCCACTGAACTGGGCTTCAGCAGAAGACCAAACTCACTAGCTGTTCATTAAAAATAAAAGGAAAATCGTGCCCCACAATGGGAGAGTAAGAAGGCACCCAGGAGGCACTAATTGCTTGAAAAAAATAGCAGGTGACCACCACTCAAGGCTCTTATAAATCCAAATATTTTTCTGTTGCTGTTGAATGCAAAGGTTTGACAGAGATGACAGGAATAATCCCAGAGTGAGCAATTTTGTGATGCATTTCTCTAGTCATTCTTATTTCTGAACACTTTTTCTTATATATGTTTTCTAGTTTAGATGTAAGGCTGTCTTTCTGATTATATTCCTACATTTGCCCCACACATTTTCAGCAACTCAGAAATAACATTTTTGTCATCATGATTATTAGTATCAACAGTCCCTAGAAGCAGTAAGCTGAATGAATAGGGTGAAAAAATCATCTATTCTGAGGCAATTGAAAATTGCCTTTGGCACAATCCTGCCAAAATCAAATTTTAACATTCAATTTCATTCCCAGACAGATGGGTTGATAGTATAATGACAGAAATTCTTTTGGACTTATATGTATGTTTAGCAATCAAATATCATGTTGACAGGAGAAGCCCATAGTGCATTAAAGTTTTCCCAGCCTGCTGTGGTCCTGCTGATATTTAAGTAAGATTCCAAAATATATCAAAACATAAGTATATTATGAAACAGAAACCCATGTATCATAAGCATTGCAAAGTGTGTCTGTTTGCTTTACCTGTCAAACAAGTCCCAGGAACTTCAGCTCCATAAATGTAAAATAAGGTATGTCAGAGGTGAGTGCATTGACACTCATAAGTTATCTCCAAGTGCACCAGGTGAGACAGAGTGCTGCCTCTACTTTGCAGACATATTTCAGACAAATCACTGCATCTTGCTGTGCCTTGGGTTCCTCATATTAAAACAAAAAACATATTAAACCTTACCAATGTCATCACACACTGCTTTGATAGAGCCCATGGCATTTCCCATTTGCCCTCTCTTTGTATTACAGAAACTCTCCTTTGTAGCCTTCCATATAGGTCTGAATATAACACTGATAAAATAGTTCTAATCCACATTCCTGGGTGTTTGCCAGAAAACTGATAGTTCAGGATTTAGGGTGGATTTCTCTTTCAGAATGGAGAGAAACTTTCTTTGTTAACTTAAGTATGACAGATTCTCCAGGTAATTGCTGAGTAAACCAGCTTCCTATAATCAAGAGGGTAAAGGTAGAGCAGAAAAGTTTAATTGTTTCTGTTGTTGGGGTTTTTCACTTCCCACACAGGAGGGTTAATTTGAGAGTGCAGTATTAGGGTGTGTGTTCATTATTATCTCATGTAGATACAAGACCCTTGAGGGGGAAATTGCTCATTGCTGACCTGGATCAAACACCTCCTCTCCAAACCCCACAACAGGGCAGTCATGAGTCATATTGTGGACTTTGTGCCAGGAGGGGTACAGGACCAAATATTTTCCTGCAAAATGTTCAGAAAGCTGACTGAAATGTGTATATGTATATATTTGTCTGAAAGTAGGCAGCGTCAAATATGAATGAAGCAGGTTTGAAATCAGCTGCAGGTTTGGACTTTTTGCAATCTTGGAGACCCATTTCAAAAAACTGACTCGAGAACTCTGTTTTAAAAGTAACAAGACCACTGCCATAGAATAAGGGTGCTTTCAAAAGCACTTGAATACGTCAGCTAATTCCTGAAAATGGGAGTCACTAGGATGTAGACTCTTAGCTGGCTCTGTAATATCCATAGGTGACTAGTTGAATTTTCAGATACAAAAAAAAAATATTTAAAAAATATTTCCATTAAAATAAAATTTTAATTAACCACATTATACAACAATTATATTTTTAATTTTGTATATCTCTGTTTCCAGAATGATCCATGGCCCTTTTCTCTACTGTTTTGTAAGGTGCTAGCATGGGTAAGAGAAAAAATATAAATAACTTCATCCTGAATATAAAGGAGAGAAAAGCACCAAGAGTACAAAACGACTGTGAGGCAGATGCCACTAGTACTGTTTTACTAACTCCCATACTCCAAAAGGGTAATGGTCAGCAGATTAGGATTTCTTCTCCAAGCTGCATCAAACTACTGCATCTTTTTCAGTCATTTTCATTTAGACAAAACTATTTTGTAAACATTGTAAATGTGAAAATTATATTTTTAAACATTTATTTGGAAGTCCTATTTGAAATTTCATGACAAGTTTTCCCGTTGAAAAAATGTTCTTATTTATATTTTCTCATAAATCCATGTGCACTCTTCATAATAAGATATAGCAAAGAAAGATGCAGTGCAACAGCTGGTAATTTTGTTTTCACTTCTGCTGGGGCTATTATTTTTGTTTGAGGCATTTTATCAAGTTTTGTAAATCAAATTATCTTCTGTTATAATAAAAAAATTGACTCAGCAAGGGATATTCTGGTGTGTAATAAAACATGCCTATTTTGCAGTTGCAAGAAATAATTTTTTCTATACAGTGGTCAAATTAGAATTTCAGCATTATGAAAAGCGGCTTTGAGTGATACATACTGTCAGACTTTCTTGACTATCAGTCTGGTATTAAAGAATTAAAAATACAAAAATAATGTTTCGAATTATGCAAACAAAAAAAAATCCACACACACCGAACAACTGAAAAAACTAAAATGATTTTAAATTTACTTTTTTTTTTAAATATGATTAAGCAAAAGTTCTGAAATAAGGTACATTTCAAATTGTTGAGGAAAAGGAAAATGCAGCTACAATCCATTTAACATTGCCTGTCCCGGTCTGCCTCACTGACTCATTGACGGGCACGTTGAGCTTGGTACCGAGGGCTGAGTGACAAATGGGGACATGCACGACTGGCTTTGGCAGCCCCAGCCAGTTGCAAGACAGCAAAGTACCCATGCTAAGTGGCAGGGAGACGCGGCATGCTGCAAAGCTGCTTACCCAGCAGGAGCATGGGACCTCACCCTGGCAGGGGCTGAGCAGCCCCAGAGGTGCTGAGCACTCTTTTCCCAGCTCAAGTCCAGCCCTGGGAGATGCCAAGCACCATGGAGGGCTCACCAGGCTCAGGAGCCCACCAGTGGTACTGCACTTTTAGGGATGAAGTGTGCACCCCCTCCCAGCTTCAGTCACAGAGGAGAAGGCCACTCTGACTTCTCCTTGCCCTTTAAGGGGTGATTCAGGTGTTCCAAAGACACAAGGAGGCACTCAACACCTGTGCTGCAGAACAGACAGAAAGCGGGGAACCCTCTGTGATTTCTTTGTCCCCCACACAATTGTGCTCCTGCCGTTAAAAACGAGGCCAGAAGAGAGCTGTGCAGCACATCCTCTCTCTCCTCCACTAGCTGCTGTTTTGAACAGCTCTCCAGTTTCTCTAACACTCTCTCCCCTCTCCACTGTGTCAGCGAGAGCACAGCCCATTGGAAGGGAAAGGTATGGCATGAGGAGGCTTTGCAGTTGGTAAAGGCAGAAAGTCTTCCTCCTCTGCTTCAGAAATTCTTGCAGCCTCATGAATAAAGCACTATTTTCCCCCCAAAATTAATATGATATCTCTTTAGTGACAGCCCCATTCTGCTCTCAGTGCTTCACTTCTGTGAACAGTGTGCATGGAACTCACTCCTTTGTGCCTGGAAGTAAACAAATGGACTACCAATTTAAATGAATAATTTCTTTAATTCCGTATTCTTTATCATAATATTCATTTAGTTCTTCTATTATACAGGGTGCAAAGAGAAAACTGGAAGTTGCATTCAAAGCAATGATAAGTTACAATTTTAATGATTCCTTGTGTTGTGAGTAATTTATAAATCACCCGGTATCTTCTCAGCAAAGCTTGCCTCTGTTTTTAAAACGTACCTTTTTGTATCCAACAAAGGGTTTCAGTGCAATAAGAATTAAGGTGTGTCTCTTAGCTTTTACCTGCAAGCAATAATGATGTTGTCAAGCATTTCAGGTGAGACCAGCCCAGGATTTTGGGGTGGGGAAAGACACTCTGTTATACAGCATCTTCAGTTCTTCCCTCAGAGGGAGGCAGAGACACCTTGAAGGGCTGAGTATAAGGACATGTACAGAGTGTCTTTTTAAATAGTCACCAGAGCTGGGGGGGGAGGGGAACAGGAACAGGCTTGTAACCATAACTCAGTTGGACTTGTTTCTGAGAAGTCAGATGCCATGGATTGGCTCCCTCACCGAACGGCTGCTTTTCTGTTCCTTTTGTTGGTAAGTCGGATTTTAAAACAATATTTGTAAACGCTGTGACTACGCCAGTTTCATCTTCCTCAGCAGACCACTGCGTTTTACAATGTAAACTATTCCCCAAAAATATCTTGTGAAATTTACCATAAAAACTAAAGCGATGCTCATTTTAAACAGCACTTCTGAACATTCTATAAAATCAAATCAGCTTTTCATTAAATACTGACAAATGTCTCTTTTTAGACTTTTGGCGATCTGTTGATGTTCAAGATGTGAACATCAACTTTCTATGTTTACTGCATGATTTTTCAGGCAAATGTTTTCTGTGGCTACGATTTGAAGGTCACAGTTATTAATAAAATGCTATAATTATTAAAAATTTAATGGTTGGATATATTTTGGTTCTATGTCTTTACTTTTTTATCAGTTGAGGAAATACCTTTTCCTAAAAAAATTAAAATCTCTTTTTTCTAAAATGCTTAGAAAGATTGTTTCAGAGCTGACCAAATCTTGCAGTTATTTTCAAGAGAGAAAAAAATGGCAAAATGTAGTGATCTCAGTTAAGTAGAAATCAAGACTTGGCCTATTATTTCACATTGCAAAGGATTCCTGTGTTGTTGTGCCCTGGTGTTTGAGCCGCCATGTGCTGAGCAAGTGAATGCATGATGAAAGTGTTGCTCTTTGGGTTTGTTTTTCTCACTGTAAAAGGAAAGTTGTGGCTATGGTCAAGTGGCATAGTTGTTCAATGTGTTCATCAAGGCATGGAAATTACCCAGAAGGGACTTAAAAGTGCTATGGGTGCCCTACTGCTCCTGCAATCTGGTTTTTGTGTGGACTCATTTTACTCATCTGTGCTGACCTCTTGAAATTCAGTAGAGATTTAAGGCCCTGAAGATTGAGAAGAGCAGGATTTCTACTATAGTTATGTCCTGTGGTTTTCATGAAATTTTACATTTTACACAGTGTATTAGGATTATTTGGAAATGTTTAACTTCTCATTACTGACTTCTCTAGAAATGCTGTAGTCTGAGAAAAAGTTTGTGTTATAGGTTAAGAAATCCTAAACCCATTATGAAAATACAATCCATTAATTTTAGGTGACAGCTCTGCAATCAGTAAAGTAGAACTAATTAACACAGAGCAGCTGCCAAGCAAACAAGGGCAAAACTTGGCAAAAGCAAGTTATGGTTCGGATGAGTTTCAGCTTGTTCAAGGCAGCAGAGAGGTGTCTCAGACTGGCCTGTTGCACATGACACTAACACTTCTGGATTTTCATGAAGCACTAGTGACTATTCATTTTACTCAGTTACCTGGTGATGAACGCTCCCAGTGTGTCGAAGTTCAAAATGATTGACTGTTTTATGTCTAAGACCTGTCCATTGAAAAGATATTTTACCCAATTGCTTTGCTGCTTTACTTCTCACAGCAACTCTGGAGCCATTTTCATTCTATCTATTGTTGTTACAGTTGTGAGTGATAGAGGGTAGGTGCTGGGTCAGAAAAAAAGAGCGATTCGGGAAAATGCTGTTGTGTTTTGATGACTATCAAATATTTGAACTTTTACTACCCAGAGGAAACCCTTGTTCTTGTTATGTGTTCTTCTGCCTAGCAATGTTTATGATGGCCTGTACAGCTTAATAGCATCTTTCAACATTTTAAAGAAAGGTAGCAAACAATCTGTCGAGATCAAATTATACATTTATGTATCCAGTTTTAGTGATTTCTGAGAAAAAAAATTTGGCTTTCAGCTTAACTAATCTTTCATGAAAATCACCTGTCTGATTGGTGTGTCTGGTTAGTATATTGTTAATAAGTTGCATCAAATAAAATTAACATGGAGTTATACATATTTTAGTACACTACTGCATTTTCAAAAAAACAAAAAGGGAACTTACCAGCCCTGAAACAAATAATTTTCTCTATGTATTTCACCATTGGTGGGACTGATTCTGCAACCCTTGCTCATGTGACTTCAAAGACCTTATTCTCATGAGTAAGGGAGTTCTGTTTGTGATACTAGCACAGACACGTTTTATGGAAATAACCTGTTTGATCAGGTATGACTCTTCTCCTGCCAGCTATCATGTGACAGCCAATAATTTTAAATTCACCACATCTCTTATGCACTTTTGTCTGGATATATTTTCCCATATGTTATCTAGGCTTATTCACCACCACCCCACACCACCCCACCAACCACCCCCCCCAAGTTGTAAGGCTGTGGTTGCACATCCTACTCATAACTTGATTGCACATAAAAATAGTCAGGAGCTACATCCTGTTCTTATACATTCATGTGAAACATCTGCCAGAATTGAATCAGGAACCTGCAGGTTCTTCTGCCAAATAATTTTTTTGTAGAAATATAAACTGAAGCAATTCCACATCCAGGAACTATCACCTAAGATCAGGTACTTAAGCCTGCAGTTTTACATTCCTAAGTAAAATGCCCATTAAGCAAACATGCATTTGCAACCAGAAAACTCTAAGTCATATCAGAATTCAGGTTTTATTGAGGAGATATATTGAGGGCACTTAGCATGACTAATTTGAAAAACGCAAATTTTAATGATAATGGCATACACCCTATATTGAAATTTCTTTTCTGTTCATTTTTCTAATGGTTAAGCTCAGTTACTCTATGGACATGTATTGTACCTGCATACAATAGGAGATACAATAGCAGAACAGAAACAATCTCAGTAGAAACTTTCCTAAAGTTGTCAGTTCTTTGAGTAAACTGATTTTAAAATAAATAATACTTCAAAGTATATTCTCCAGCCTAACATGACCATTGTCATAATTCCTGAATTATCCGTGTCACAATTGTTGAAAGAGTGATGGATTATCCATCCTTGGTGCAGTTCAAAGTATTGCTAACATAGGAAACACCTGACCTCCTCTGAATTAGAAAACAAAATGCCAAAAAAATAATCCACAAAATCTTTCCTTTAAATTGGATTAAGTACATTCATAAGTGACATATGAAAAAGTGAAATGTAGAAAAAGAAATCATATTTCAATTAAAAAGTAATAAGATGGCATATTTATAAAATATGACCGTTTGTCTTATATTTGAACTCTGCTTCTCATTATTTCATATGCACTGCTGTATAATTTTTTCAAAGAGATGCAGAATGAATAAAGGGGAAGGGTTCATTATTGCAACCCTTTTCTAGTCAGGGTTTTGGATGAGTAAGAAAGATGTAAAAGTCCCAAAACGCTGACAGTACCAGAGCTACCACGGCAGCTTGATGACTAACATAATACGTGTGAGTTCTCAGCACTCCTCCCATCCAGGCAAACAACAATGCCACTGTTGACTTCAAAGAGAGAGAAGCAGATCCCATATGAATAATGCTGGGAAGATGTTAAAGGCATGTTCAGTCATTTAGATTTGAGTAGGTGGAGGAGGGAGGATTCCATAATTACATATGATATTGCTTGGCACTCAATTAATGATTAGTTAATTCTTGTTTGTAAATTGCTTTGAGGGTGCAAAGAACAGTAGACATCCTATGGGCCTAATTCTGTCCCCCAGTTACATCAGAATAAATCCAGAATAACTCCAGTGTGACACAAAGGTGTCATTTTGGACATAGGGTCCAGGTATCATTAAAATAAAAGACAAGTTTTCAGACAGAACACTGTGCAAATGACAGAAACCATAAACTTGTTTCCTGCCTGCACATCTCCCAACCCAAAACAGAAACAGCTTGTGTAACCAGCATCTAGATTCTCTGCAGCTTCCTTTTTTTCACAGTCTCTCAGAGACTAACAGGACAGCAAATCCTGGCATCGTTCTGACCAGCTTGCCTACCCCAAGGTCCTCAGGATGCATCCCACACATTCCAGTGGCTCCTATTGCTTTAATTATTGTTTATCCCTGTGTCTTTGGAAAGTACTGTACTTGGATATGGGTTTAGAAGGGATTTTTTTAACTACCTAGAAATTTTCTGGGGTGAGCTGCTAGGAGACAGAACTTATCTGCTGGAAATAGCACTAAAAAAAAAAGGTTGCATCCCAGATACATATTAGAAATAAACAATTGGGTTAGGAGAAGACTTCTAACTGCTGGTGACAGCAGAGAACCAGAAGGCATTAGCTGGGGAGGTGGAGGAGTCTCTGTTCTTGAATCAAGTAGGATAAATGTAATTTCAAAATTGTTCCGATTTATCTGGAGAACTATTCATTTTTGACTGATGTCTGCCTGTCCTCCTTCCTAAACCACAGCCATAACTGAGAGACATACCAAACAGAGCCACCAAGCTCATTGGATCAGCCTTTTCAAATAACAACATGAACTGTGCTAAGGACTCTGAATTCAAGGTCTTCCATTACCAACAAGTAGCAAAATGGGGTTTTCCTTAGTTATCACTGCACAAGTGTGAAAATACAGGGCCTAAATTTACAATCCCCAGCATCACCAATGGACAAATTCCTGATGTTCCTATTACTGGTGCTCAAAAACAAAGGATAAGGCTCCAGTGTAAAGTATATTTTTTTTCACTGCTTGAAAACAGAGCTCCCTATAGGCTGGAATCAAGAGATTTATGAATACTCATGTCCTTAAGTTATAGAATTCTTTACAGGTATAATTCTTATTGCAGAAAAACTCAGAATCGTTTTTCAGAATATGAGAGTGATGTGGCTGGGTGTGAGCTGTTAGTCTCACTGTTAAGTAACAGGATAGGCCACATGATGCAGACAGCAGACAAGATTCACTAACATTGCACTGGGAGGGGCATACCCATACTTTGCCGGGTCAAGACAATTGTTTGCATGCCAGAAGGGATTTCAGCCTAAGGGTGGAGAGGATTTCATTGTGCTCACCAAATGAGGTGGGATAGACTGATAAGAGACGTTCAATTAGTGTTATTTCTGATGGACCTCATCATTCAGGTTCCCCTTTGACTTTTCCATGTTCCCCTGGGCTCCAAGGAGGATTATTAAAAAAACACAGTTGAGCTCCCACGGGGGCGAACAAACCCTGCCATTCACAGGGAGTCTGATATTGTCCCTTCTCTGAGATGAGGAACAGAATGGCTGCACGTGAATTTGAACCCTATTCTGAAGCTGAAGATTTAAACAATCATAAACACAACATAAGGTAAAAGATGTATAGGTGCTTTTAACAGAACATGAACATATTGTAGTGATTCTCCTGAAGAGTACTTTTTTAATCATTTATGTCAATAACTGGATCAAACAAGGAAAAAATCCTTACTCTGTGAATAGTCAAAAAAATGTCAAGCTACATATGCACATCAAACGGGCAGATCCAGTCTAAACTCCTCCATTGAGAAGCAGATTAAGGCATCCATTATAGGCCAAGGTCTCAAGGAATATTTTGAGTAAAACCAGATCATTGGAAACACTGTTTCATAAATCACAGATGGTGAATTCTTGCAGCATAAAGGCAAATGGGGAAGAGAAAGAGAGACAGAGAGAGAGAGGAAGGAGGGTAAAGCTGCTGTTCATTAATCTGTTGCATGTAAGAAGTTGTCTTAACATGAAGTAAGTGGAAAAAATTTTGTGTCCATGTTCCAGTCTTGCCAGTACAATGCAATAAATTTGAAGTGAGGAAAGTCCCATGATGTAAGGATAAAAGGTGCCAGATTTTATCCAAGTATAGCTGACATAAAACCCCACAGATATAACATATCAGACAAAAAAAAAAAAAAAAAAAAAAAAAAACCAAAAAAAAACCACAAAAACCCAAAGAAACCAAACCAAACCAAAAAGCTATGGGAAATTACAAGGAAGTGAAATACTCATAACTGCAGCTGTTAACATTTGTTGAGAAAAGATAAACACTGCAATAATTTTTGAGTCACCTGGATATTTAGTACCTTCCAGTGATGAATGAAACAAGAATCCAGTCCTGAAAATCCCACATTCTTCATTCTATTGTCTGAAGAGACCCAAAGCAATTCCTAAACCTGAAAGAGATACTCTGAAGAAAGTGAACTTCATTTTCACACCCTATTTAGGAATAAAGTTTATTAAATTGTGCCATCTTTTAAATTGTGCTAATCAAGAAATTGAGGCTACTCTCATTTAAATTTTAGTTTTAAAGTAATTACATACTGCATCTGATACTGCTACCTTTACTTACTCAAGGTTAGTTGCATACTTGAGTCTCAAATCAAAATCAACTGCACCCCAGGGAAATTTGCCTGAACACTGCATGTGGGTTTCCATCTTACATTGAATCTCTTCAATCTCACTTAATCTCAAAAAACCCCATTTTCATTCTTTTTGGTTAAATTACATAATTAAGTACTCGAGGGTTATTGTCAACTTTATAAATTGGAAAAAGAAAAAAGAAAAAAAAGAAAAAAAAGAATAAATGATTTAGGATAAATACTTTTTTGGTTTCCTGGAGTGTCTGGTAAAGTCTCTTCCAAACACTTCTCTCTTTAGCTGAGGTGTTAAAAATCTGCGTGAAAGCTTTATTTTGATGACGGTATGGTTTGAACATTGCTCTGGCATATCCATTCAAGCTCAAAGTTCTGTCTTGAAAGACAGTATGGATTTTGAAGGTTTTAACTGTCAAGGAATTTAGGTGCTAGATATAAAAAAAATTGAATTTCATAAACTCATTTGTGGAAATCTTGCGGCTAGATAAGCTATTGCAATAGGCCTGCAGTATAGCAATATCTTGCTGCTAGGTTTTGCTTGCTGTATTTTTCCTTGCATTTTTACATGTCAATTTTTTTATTGTTCTTGCAGGTACTCTTGGATTTCAGCACAGGATTTCATGTAGAGGTAAAATATATTTATTTAGAAACTATTTTTTCTGATTAAACATAATGTAACAAATGAAAAAATCATGTGGAAAATACTCAACTGAGACAATTCTGAACCTGAAGATTGAAAACATATTTAAATATTAAACAGTTGCAGGTAATAACCTGCTAACCCTCTCAAGAGAAATTCACCTAAATCTAAATGAGTATCTCATACAAATGAGCAATTTTAAAATAAACATGTACAGCCGTACAGTTTAGGACTCACAGACATGCAAAAAAGCACATAGTAAAAAAGCACATGGTCTACAAAAATCTCTTTTCTTCTTATTGTTGGAAATTATAATTGTCTGTATTTATTTAAAATGGATTGAGGTCACATAATACTGGAACTCTCTGTCAAAGGTAAAAGAATGGGATGAAAATGGAATGGCAAGATGGAAAACCTTTAGAAGACAAAAACGTGAGTGGATCAAATTTGCTGCAGCTTGTAGAGAAGGAGAAGATAATTCCAAGAGGAATCCAATTGCCAGAGTAAGTAGAAAGAAAAACACAAGTTCACTGACAAGAAGTTTTGCCAAAGTCAGGTTGATAAAAGCAGAGAGATTTAAAAATACATATGCCTAGAGTATAAAAGCAAGGAATGTAGAATAAAAAAAGATGATGCAACATTCCCAGCTCTGCTGAGACAGTCTCATAAAGTGAATCCGTGTGGCTGCTGAGGAGTAACCAGAGGCTTTCTAGAACATTGCTATGAGTCTACTTCCCAGGCAGCTCCAACCAGTGACATTTTTCTTTTCGCTCTCTCATCCTGAGAAAACCCTGAGCAGAAGTTCAAAGATTGTACATGACCTGTGGGAAACAGAGAAAAAGAAATACCTTTCTGCTCTCTCACTGTCACCATGCCCTTACTGAGTTCCAGCCACGGTGTGATACCCTTGGAGGTTTCTCTCTCCATTACCCTGACAGATTTAAGAGAAATAGAAGGTCTATCCAGCCCTTAAGGCAAGATGGATGTCTAAGTTGACGTTTTGTAGAAAAGCCTTCCATTGACTCTGTCAACTGAACGTTGTAATAAGTAGTTGAGAAACTGAAGTTGTATAGATTTTTTTACAGGAACTAAGAATAGAAGAAAAAAACCTGTAGGTGTCCTCAGTAAACTGGCATAAATTATTATTATCTGTTACTGTAGATCCGATCTGATTGTGAAGAAGACAATCCAATCACATACAGCATCTCTGGAGTTGGAATTGATCGTGCACCCTATGGAATATTTGTTGTTAACCCAAGAACAGGAGAAATTAATATAACATCAATAGTGGATAGGGAAATAACACCAGTATTTGTTGTAAGTACTCCCTTTTTTCTTGACCTTTGTAATGATAGATCCAGGGTGGGGCAGACAAGAAATTAGTTTGTTTCAGATTGCTACTTTAATAACTTAACTTTTGGTTTTAAAACAAGTAAATCTCTTTATTTAGATACGTTGTTTTGCTAAACACTCAGTGACCGGTATAGATCTGGAACCACCTCTTGAACTTCGAGTCAGAGTCCTGGATATAAATGATAACCCTCCTGTATTTGCACAAACTGTATTTACAGGATCTATTGAAGAGAGCAGCATGGACAGTGAGTACCTATGCTATGCCTTTTTCAGTACTGCTAGTGAAGCTCACAGAATGCAGTTAACATACACCTGGAGTGCTCTTTCTGCTTTTCTTAGACAATGACATAAAATGGTCAGGGCCACTGCAGAGGAGGGAGCAGCAGTTGCTTCTCCAAGTGCTATTTGAGCCAGGGCCTGGGCTAATTGCTATAAATGAAACAGCAATGCTTCCTTCTCCCTTTCCTCCCACACACAAGTGCAGAATGTTCCAGTTTCTAGCTGTACCATCATGCAAATTATTTCAGATGTGAAAATGTAAAAGAAATAATTTCATTTGTTCTCATTAGAATAAAAATATCATTACACTTATTTCCTTGGAGGGCATGTAAAATACATTTTTCCCCATTTTTCTCTTTCAAATGTTTGTAGTTGTAGCCTGTGTATTTGCAATTGCAGCAGAACATTACTAAATAATTCCATACTTAAACCATTAAAATGGTTCTTTTCACAAAAAGTGCAGCAATCAACATTAGACATGCAAATAGCACTGAGGCAATGGTGCCTAACACTCATTTTCTTCTTTCTAGAAAGTCTCATTTAAAGCTGAGATTTCTTACAGTAATCTCCACAAGCTCAGTACTTTATTTGCATATTCCCTATGGTGATAGGGAATTTAACTTCTTTAAAGAAGTTCAGTGAAAGTCTGTATTACTCATTCTGACTTTGATTTTTAATTAATTTGAAGTCATTAACATTGTCAGAATCAGTACTACAAAACTAAAGTTTCACTTCTCTCTGTAAATGTCAAGGAATAAATAGCCTTCTATCATTTTCATACACTGTTTCAGCATTGTCTTGATGAGTTGTTTGCAGGAACTCAAGAGATTTTCTGGTGGTTTTATGGTTTGGTCTTTTTTTGGTTTGTAGGGTTTTGTTTAATTGCTATTATTTTTTAATTTATTTTAGACACACTGGTGATGAAAATCATTGCAACTGATGCAGATGAACCTAACCACTTGAATTCTAAAATTGCCTTCAAAATAGAGAGTCAGGAACCTTCTGGTCCACCTATGTTCATTATGAATAAATACACAGGAGAACTCCATCTTGCAAATTATCTTGACAGAGAGGTAACATTTCCCCTTCCAAAGCTAAATAAAATTGTGCTGTAGTGTGTGTGTGTGTGCTATGAGAGTAAGAAAAATATAGAAGAGAGAGAAAGGTTGTGGTTTTTACAAATATTAATGGAGAAATGCATGGTTTTGATGTGTCATAATAAAATGTCTAAGTTAAATTCCTGTATTAGGAAATAGCAGCAAGCATGAGTTATTTATAAGATGCACAGATGGTATTCTAACGTACTCATTTCCCTTTTTGTGACAGCAACATAGTAGCTACACTCTGGTTGTGAAGGCATCAGACCGGGATGGGGCTGCAGATGGAATATCATCCCTTTGTAGATGTAATGTGAAAGTTATCGATGTTAATGACAACTTTCCAACTCTTGCCCAAAGCTCTGTAAGTTTCCAGGAAAAAAAAAAGCAGCAACACTGATTTAAAACCCCATTTAAAAGCCCCACTGGTAACAGACTCCTTACTAACCCATAGAGAATGTTCACATTTACATGCTCCATGTAATTTTTACATGGTTGTTCCCTTGAAGTGTGCTCAAAATATGATCTGTTGCTTGTGCAACAATTCTGGTAACATACACATATATCATTTTTGTATTCAGAGATGTCATTCCTGACACTGTCAGGACTGACTTCTTGTATTCAGAGAAATCCTGTCATACAGGTGCCCAGATCCCTGAAATATAAGATTATGTAGAATAACCCAATCCTTGGAAGACAATTTCCTATAGAAAGCACAAATCCTCTTCCTCTAAGATGCCGCTGCAAACTTTGGAAGGGATACAGCTTTTCAAATCTGTAACCATAATCACAATTTGCTCAGAACCCATGGGTTTTTTTATTAAATTGGCATGGACTATGCTCAGAACATCCTTCGAAACAATCTCTGCAGACAGCTGTTTTCCTCACACACACACACACACACATATATATATATATATATGTCTGTTTGCTAATGGATATTTCTCTATCATTCCAGTTTTCAGCAAGTATTTCAGAAAATTCACTCAGTTCAGAACTGCTACGAATACAAGCTCTGGATGCTGATGAAGAGTTTACAGACAATTGGTTAGCAGAGTTTTTCTTTATATCTGGTAATGAAGATAACTGTTTTGAAATTGTTACAGATCGAGCTACAAATCAAGGAATCCTTAGAGTAATTAAGGTATGGATAAATATTGTGATTCAGCTCTTGATTTAAAATTTTAATTAATTGTTAATAGAATTAAACAGGCAGTAAAAACACTGTCACTCAACCATTTAAAATTAAAAAATGTTAAAGGAGATCTGTGGTTTACCTTCTAGGAGCTGGATTTTGAACATATACGAACTCACTCACTGATGATTGGCGTCAGGAATGTAGCTGCATTCCACCACTCTGTTGCACATGAGTACCAAATATTTGGGACACCCCTCACAGTAGAAGTAAAAAATTTGATTGAACCACCAAGATTTCATCCATCTTCAGTTGTGTTTTCCCTGGCAGAAGGCGCAAGAGTGAATTACGTTGTAGGAACATACACAGCCATGGATGAGGACACTAGAACCATTGCAACAAATGTTGTGTAAGTTCTGCTCTGCTTAACTCCCTGGATGGAATAATACTTTTGATATTTCAATGGAATGAAAAATAGGCATTTTAAAGGATGTTTTAAAAAACTATGATTATTGATTAGCAATAGAAAAATGGCATCATATAATATTATATATTATATAGTATTATATTCTATATTACTACAGAATAGTATCTAGCCCATTTTTGTGCTATAATTGCTTTTCTTTTCTGACTACTTTACTTAGCCTTATGCACAAGACAAACAAAATATCACTTTTCTAACAGGCTGTAACTTAAATAGACTAGAAGAGGGTTTGTTTTTTTACTCAGCTTAAGAATGTTTTTTCTTGAAACATTTGCTACAAGGAAGGAATTTGTTAGCATAGCAAGAAAAGCAGACAGAAAATCCTAATAACAGTCAATATTATCCAATCAGAATAGAAGAGGTCCCTACTAGTTGATTCTTTAATTAAAAAAAAAATTACACTTGTTTCTCTTGAAATTAACAACATTAACTGAGACTATAATTTGCCTTTCGGTGCATGTAAAAATAAATACAGCCTATTTACAAATATTTGAAAAAATTTCCTAAAACACAGAAATATGTCAGCAAATGCAACTGTAGATTGTTATAGGAAGAGCTGTGGATTTAACCATTGCTATCAACAAGGGTTCTAGTAAAGGTTTACAGGATCCAGAAAAGTTTTACTTTTAGACTACAATGCCACTTTCAAAATAAAATGGGTTTTTACACATTTGCTTTATTCCTAATTATTTTTCTGGTCTATGCCTTTTGGAGTACATGGATTTCACATGAACTGGGTGAAATGCAAGAGGATCTAGCATAGCTGAAAGAAAAATGCTCCAAAGTGCCAAATTTTATCTGCAAAATAAATATGTAATACATATATTCATAACATAATGCTGAGTATTTTTACTTCACCAAATACAGATATAGTATAGGTCGTGATCCAGCTGCCTGGTTCAGAATCAATCAAAACACCGGTGAAATCACATTGAACAAAGTAATTAACCGGGATTCAGTCTATGTAGTCAATGGGCAGTACCAAGCAGAGGTTCTGGCTATCACCAGAGGTAAGAAAAGAGATTAAGTTTTCCAAAATAAACCCTTTATGCTCCACATTTCTCTAATTTTTTTTTTTTTTTTTTTGCTGTTTCTAGTTTTCCAACCCTAACTGCATTGTTTATAGTATCACCATTCCCTCCTGACCACAAATACCTTCTTTTTATAGGGGTTCCTCGATATACTGCCACTGGCACCATTGTGCTTTCAATAGATGGCATCAATGCCAATTGCCCAACTATTAATACTGAAATGAGGAAAGTATGTATGAATTCCCCATCGGTGATTATCTCAGCAAAGCATAGGGATGGTGATCTCTATGCTACCCCCTTCACATTCAGCATACATGGTGAACCTCAGACTACATGGATTATCAGACGAATAAATGGTAAATTAACCTATATTTTATAACAGCATAAGTGATAGCAATAAGCTCTTATCTAAAATAACTGATTCGGATGTGACTTTATTAACAAAACATCACTTATTAGAATCTATTCATATCTCAGTTAAATATGAATTTAAGGAGTTACTTCAAATTTGAATATATGCATGTGTACATATATATATATCTATATATTAGAATATTTAAATCAGAATGATTACATGTGTTATACTTTAAAGGAAACTGAAAATTTCCTGGCAAAACTGTACTTTGAGTATAACTATGACAAGAGCCTTTATGGGTCTAAACATAATTACGTAAATCAAAAGGACTAATTTGACACTTTTTTATTTCTGTGTTATCTAAAAAATCCTAAGCATACAAAAAAATCTCAAATTTGTTTATCAAAGTATAAAGTTTAGGATAGCAGAGCTTTACTTTGATGAGAGGCATATGAAAATGGCAAATTAAGATTACATCTTTTTAAATTTATTGTACCAGTCACACCTACTTGTATTTTAAAGGAAATTGTTTTAGTCAGTGCCCAGTGAAGCTTTGCCAGTTTCCTTCAATACGACATGACAAAATAATGAATTAATCAATACCATGCATTACTAAATGACAGAATTTGCATAACTTACTGTTTACATAGAAGACTACATTATATGGCTAGTATCACAATTGCAAGTATTCCTGAGTCTCCTACCTGTCCCAAAAAGCTGCAAATATGTAATCTTAAATATTTTAAACCTACTGAAAAGTTTTCCAAAAAACATGCATGAGTTCCTTGAGAGAGGAATAAGAAATGCATAAAACTTTCAACTTTTATCTTTACCATTGTGTGAATAAAATTCAGGAAATGCAGCAGTGGAAATAAAATATTTCATTTTCCCCTTTTGTATTTCTCAAGTTTTGAAGTGATAACTAGACTGATTTGGCTCAGGTTTTGCAGGAAATAAAACAAGCATAGATGAGTATTTTATGTTTCAGGTTTGAGTAAATACTGTAGATGCATAAGTAATCGAGGTGCCTAGAACACTTTGTTTCATTCTGTTCTATGAATGTAACACACAAGTAGTATAGATTTGTAGAACACTTATAGTTAATACCTCATCCAAATGTTTTTCTCCTTTTTTTTTCCATCCAAGATTCCTCTGCAGAACTAGTGGGCCAGAACATAGACTTTTACCTTTATAGGATCTATGTGGTTGTAAGAGATAGCCAAGGCCGGCGCTGTGCTCGACCACACATAATTCCTGTGCAAGCTTGCCAGTGTGATAGTCGGAACTACTGCACCAGTGGGGCCACAAGAATAATTATCATTGGTGGTGGTGGTGGCTCTGGAGGTGGCGCTGGTGGTGGTGGCGCTGGTGGTGGTGGCGGCACTTCTGGTGGTGGTGGTGGTGGCACCGGTGGAGGAGGCCGGGAAGACGGAGGAGGACAACAAGGTGGTGGTGATTATGGTGGTGGTGATTATGGCCAGACTAGACCTGGAGAAGACTTTCAGGATCACACAGACTGGCAGGGTTACACTGATGGCTACGATGGACGTGAAGATGGATATACTGCCTCCACTGATGACAGTTACGGTGGAAATGACAATTATGGCAGGCAATTAGACTCAAATACCACACTTAGCGGTGCTGCCATTGGCCTGATGTTCCTCGGTGGATTAATATTTGTTTGTAAGTATAAAATTTAGAAAACAATTTTTATTATTTTTCTCAATAATGTAAAAAGTACATTTTTTAATTCTTCTAAAATAAGGTTACTTTTTCAGTTGGTTGTTAATCCATTGGCTTCTATTGGCCATTTGACAGAGAAAAAAAAATTGTCTTTTAAACGAAAAGAATTTCCATAAATTTTGTTATACATACATTTTTCATTCAAAATTAAGCATTTCCTTTCTAAGATTTGCTATCCAATTCTTAGACAAAGCTTTCCTGTCACTTACACTTTGCAACTTCTACTTCCATTACATTACTAGAAGAAATGGGCAAGTGTCAGCTCTGAGTTGGGTATGAAAGGATCTAAAAAACAAGATTTCTTTGAACTCAAAGCCAGATTTCAGTAGCAGAACAATAAGTCATAGATTTTGAAACTTCTGGCTACTCCTTCCAAACATTACATCTAACAAGAAACCAGTAGCATTTATGATAACAGGACCAAAGCAGGATGTTAATTCATTTGTCCTAGTATTCATGAAGAATTATGAGCTTCATGGATTCAAGTTAGAATTTATACAAGCAATTATTTCTCAGACTACCACAATCATAGGTGATCAACCTTCTTTCATGGCCTGGGCATCAAGTAACCAACATCTAAGATTTCCCATTTCAGAAATAGTGACTACAAAACCTAAGGAAATTGATTTTTTTTCCCCCAGTTTTTTGAGGAGGGGGGTTTAGTTCGGGTTTTGATCTTTGTTTAGTAGGAATCAACAAACACAAAATTTTGAAGCTTCAAAAGTCTGTGCAATTTGTAGTCCCCAGATGGTTTATCTTACCAGACAGACTGTTTTTCTGCCTTTGGAAACCTCCCCTAATAATCTGGAATAAATACATCTTTAGTCATGCTGTATGAGGCAGTACTTTGTACATAGTATAGTCCTTTCCCCTTTTCATTTCACTTTGATGTTCAAGTAATCAGAGGGCTGGAGCAACTCTCCTGTGAAGACAGGCTGAGAGAGTTGGAACTGTTCAGCCTGGAGAAGTCTCCAAAGGAAACCTTAGGGCAGCCTTCCAGTGCCTAAAGGGGTCCTGCAAAAGAGCTGAAGAGGGACTTTTAAAAAGGGCATGTAGTGACAGGACAAGGAGCAATGGATTTCAACTGAAAGACAGTAGGTTTAGGAAGAAATTCTTAACTGTGAGAGTGATGAGACAGAGGCACATGTTGCTCAGAGCAGTTGTGGAAGCGCCATCTCTGGTTCAAGGCTGGGCTGGATGAGTCTTTGAGCAACCTGGTAAGTGGAAAGTGTCCCTGCCTGTGGCAGAGGGATGACATTTAAGATCTCTTCCAACCCAAGCCATTCCATGACTCTCAGAATTAATATTGCATTGCCTTTCTAAAATAAGCAGCGCTTTTGATGCCAGCCATTACAAGCATTCTGCAATTTCCAGCACTGAGTTCTTCTTTAAACAACTAAGCATAATTCAGCACTCTGGGAAACCTGACTCACTCTATGTAAACATTTGGTGAAACTAGGACTTGGGGATTGCCCCTACTGCTTTTTCAAATCAAGCATTATGTATATGTTATGTACAACTGGAGCCTTAGCCAATGATCACTGTAGTCAGTTGGACTCTCCACTGATTCTCCTATGTCTATTATTGCTGATGTGCATTTTGTTTCACTTACAATACTTGAAGAGAAAAATGTATGCTCATATATCTGGAAAGAATAGCACTGAATGCTATACATACCAACACTGGTTCTGTTTGCTTAATTTTCATATGTATGCAACTTATATTGGTTCAGCTGAGCTAGATCAAAGTCTGTTCCCAGGTGTATAAGCATAAATTTAGTGTAACAGCCCCACCCCTGTGTTGCTCTGCTATAACTAAAGGTACAAATTATTCTGAATTTCCAAATACAGGCATCTCCATAAGCAGCTAATGATTCTGAAAGCCAGACTTACAGGCTGCTTGGTTAGAAATATTTTAAAGGCATATTTTCAAAAGTTCATGAGCACCTGCCCTCTGGGGAGAGCAGCTATTCCTGTGAGGAAAAGATGTCCTAAATCCTTGTTTCCTGTTCCTTTCCTGTTAAGTGATTCCAATTTTGATGTCAATGAGCGACTGTTGTGGCTGTGGACCTGGTGCTGCAGGTGGAGTTGGAACTGGATTTGAACCGGTACCTGAATGTACAGAAGGGGCAATTCATCCATGGGGAATAGAAGGTGCCCAGCCTGAAGACAGGGTCAGTACATCCCATGTTTATAAAACCAGAAGAAATTTGTGAGTAAAGGCTGCATTTTTCTATAGAAAGTGATAGTAACACTGTGTAATTAAAAACCAGTCTGGCATTGTCAACAATTGCCAGGCAGATATGAAAAGTGATTCTTAATAAACATTCACTGATGGGGTTTATGTGTTTTAAGCAGTGGTAAATTAGTCTGGCATAATGGTTTGGTGCCACTGTTCCTTCAGATGAAGCATAATAACAAGAAAGCTTCTTCAGTGCAAGTTTAGGAGAAGGGAACACAAATCATCTTCACTGATCATTGTTCATGTTGACAAGGAAAAAAAACTTGTAGTCTCTTTGTTTTGTTTTGTTTTGCTTGTTAATGGACATGGTGACAATGACTATCATTAACAGTTTGGACTGCTAATTCCTTAACATAATTCACAAAGTCTTGGTCTTCATATGGGAATTTCAAGGTAATCATTCAAGGAGTCAAAATGTTGTTTTCCAGGATGTCTCACACATTCTTGCCCCAACAACCGCTGCAGGAGGTGATTTTGGTGAACCTTCTGGTAAGCAGATCCTTAAATTTTCTATGTTATGCTGTCATAAATCTGTCTTTTAGAACTTCATGCCTTCAGATTCATGGAGTCCTTTGGTTTCCCAGCTACAACCCAACCCTTCCAATCTCACATCTGCAGATAGTCAAACTCATACTGGTAGGACCTCCAGTATGAACAAAAAGGCTGGGGTTTGAGATTTTGAACAGATCAATTTCTGCAAACTACACTTATTTTGAAATAGCTGCCAAGGCTTCCAAATCCCAGGCAATTTTTCTTTATCAGCACAGCTACTGAATGGAGGGCCTTTTCAAGACATCAGTTTTAGCAGAAATCAATCTTTAGCCAGAATAAGGATATTTGCTTTCATAACTTGGGTAAAATCTTCAGTTCTTCCCAGTTTCCTGCATCCCACAAGGGAACATGTCAAGTACCTAGTTGATTACTAGCAATTTTTGTGTTAACCTAGACAAGCTGATACATAAATGTATGCTTCTGAGATAAGGTTCCTCCAGGAATTCAATGATCATACAGAATAAGCCCAGCTGTGCAGTGCTACTTTATCCTTCTCCCCCATTCCTTACTTCAGAAGAGGAAGGAAGGATGCTGGCACAGATCCATTTTCCCTAGCTTCTGACAGGAAGAAATGTTACTCTGTAAGACAACCTCTCTGCTGACTATTTATTATACAAGAATGTTCTCAGATTTTTCATTTCACAAAAATAAAAAAAATATGTAGTTTAGCCTATGTTTCCCAGCATAGCCATAGACAAGACTACTGTATACAATTCTTTTATTATAATATGTGCTGATCATTCAGAAAACTCCTTCCTTGTTATCATGTATTTTTAAAAAAAACGGAGAACATAAAATCCTGTAAGTATTACTTTATAACTTATTTTAAAGACAATTTCCATTATGCATTATAAAATGGTGGTTATTATGATCCATTTTTGTTCTCCCTTTAAAAATCTCACTACTAGAAAATGTGAAAGTAGTTACAAAACTCTTTCTTTTCTAAGTGTGTAAGGGAAAAAAAATAATGCAAATGTAACCATAAATATGCATTTATGTATTTGCATAGATCAACACTATCTGATTTTCTAACACAAACTCCATGACAGCATACATATATACGAGACAGAATAATCTGTCCAGCCAATAACAAAATTAATCACTGATTTTCTAAAACACATGCACCATGCTGCCTAGCCTCAGGAATAAAATCAACTGCTTAGGTGTCTGTTAATATGAATATAATCATTACTGCAGTTTCAAAGTTGGGTACCTGTGCATGTCCCTGTGACTGAAATTGGTCTAAAAATACCTTTAGAAACTCAGAAGTGTCATTATACCATTTGTAAAAAAACCTGACAAATTGTGTGTAAAGTTTCACAGAGCACAGGAGGGATAACTTTTTCTGCTTTCAGACATATATAATAACACATATGGAGGAGGAGGAGTAGTAGCCTCTGGTGTTGAAGAAACTACCGGTGTTGGCTATGGCACTGGTACCGGCTATGGAACAGCTGGAGGAATTTCTGGAACAGGGGAAGCAAAAGGGTCAATTGGAGGAACAATCAAAGAGTATCGAGAAGGAGGAGTGAACATGGCCTTCCTAGACAACTATTTCTCTGAGGTATGCTATTCTTTGAGTTATTGCTGTGAGCAGGCTTTCTGTTAGATTCTCCTTCCCAGGTTACATGGTGGAAATCCAAATTAATTCTACTCAAATTGAAACTTCCATGATATAAGACTGTTGTGAGAGCAAAGCTGACCACACTGGTAGGAAAAGGTACAACACTAGTAGCAGTACTGTCTTTGAGCTGCTGCCATAGTAGGTGGATTGTTCAACAGCCTTTTTGTAAAATTGATGGACATAATGCGGGTAGGAAGCAATTAAATTATTTCAACTTCATAAGTACCCACCAAATTTATGTATTTTCAACCTTTATCAGTGTATAAATATTTAATAACTTTTTGGAATTGTTCACTCCTACTTTCTGTATCGTTTATTTGATGAAGTAATTTTAATCCTGAAAGAACTTTAAACATCAGTTCTTCCTTATTTTTATTGCCATTTCTGCTCCCTAAAAGACTTGTGAACTACCAGTGACACCAATATGCAGTTTTACAATTGGCAACACCTAAATTCGCCTTACATATGGGATTAAAAAAATAGTACGGAATTTGCATGATTAATGGCTTCATGGGCTGTATTTTTATTCATATGCATGAACTGTAAGGCATAAATGTTGTAATTGCATGTAACCAAAATATCAATTCAGATATAAGGATTGCTATAGTTCAAATTCTAAACAAGGTTCAGTGGAGAGAACAGAGCAGTCGTGACATCCTGAGCATGGATTTCTCCCAGACTGCAATCTTCCTGCCTTGACCTGAAGCATTATGTATTAACTGTCTGCCAGCCATAGGCCTCCACATACTGAAGCTAGCCTCCTGGACCATCTCAATCCCTAAACTCTCTGACTCTCCCTCTCAGGCCTCCCCTTCCATCCTTTTCTGCTTCCTCCAACCCCACTCAGCACTCTAAATTCTCCTCTTTCCTGCCTGATCTCTTTGCAATGACCATGCCAGGATCCAAAATATTATTCCCAGTTGGCAATTTCCTTCTTGCTCAAAATGGACTCCCCTCTGGACTCACCAGGTCTCCCCCACTGTGGACAATCCTCCATCCCATCTCCTCTTTCCCGATCTTTTCATTGCTCCCCTTGCCACTCTGTTTCACTTCTCTTCCTACCACTTTTTTAAGATACTGCTGCCCAAAGAAGGCATCTGTTTGCCTCTCCCTTTTGTCCCATAGACAAAGGCATTGACAACAGACCAAATTCAAGACGCTACATGTCAGCAGAAACAAGAATAAAACACAGTACTATTTAAATAAATATATTTTAAGGGTAAAAATGTTGATGGTATAGTCTGTCCTGTTGATGTCCTATTTTTCAAATCAGGTGGGCATTACTGTAGTTAGGAAAACTTTACTGGAGTCTGAGTATTCATGGTTAAAAGCCTGACAAAATTCACACTGTTCTATTCTTTTTTTTTTTTTTTTTTTTTTTTCCTTTTGAAAACTACAGAAAGCATTTGTGTATGCAGACGAAGATGAAGGTCGGCCGGCAAATGACTGCCTATTAATTTATGATCATGAAGGAGTCGGTACTCCTGTTGGCTCCGTGGGTTGCTGCAGCTTTATTGGAGAAGATACAGATGAAACATACTTGGATACATTAGGACCAAAATTTAAGACCCTAGCAGAGATCTGTCTGGGCAAAGAGATCGAACCTTTCCCTGATGCTAACCCACCCTGGCCAGGCGTCAACATTCCCTTCCCCAGTCCTGAAAGTGATCTAAACCTCCCACCACCTGGCACCACCATCGTTGTCAATGGAAGTGCACCTATGCCTGCCGCCGCTGGCACCACAACGGTTGTTACTGAAAACACCTACACATCTGGGACAACCATACAGCCCCCAAGGCCAATGCCGGATCCCTTGCTCCACGGCAACATGACGGTGACCGAGACCTACACCTCCAGCGCGCCTTCTCTTTGCGTTGACCCTCTGCGTGCATCCAACGTCGTTGTGACAGAGAGGGTTGTCGGGCCCGCGTCTGCCTCTGATTTGCGCGGCATGCTAGATATCCCTGATCTCACAGAGGGCTCCAACGTTATCGTCACGGAAAGAGTAATTGCGCCTAACTCCCGACTCCCAGCATCTCTGAGCATTCCTGATTTGGTAGATGGGTCAAATGTGGTAGTGACAGAAAGGGTATTCAGGCCTGCCTCCGGTATGCCAGGCAGCCTAATAAATATTCCTTCTGAGTTATCCAACACCCACAACGTGGTGGTCACAGAGAGAGTAGTGTCAGGAGCTGGGATGAGCAGCCTGGGAGCAACAAGCCTGGGAGGAGCAAACATGGGGAGCCTGAGCAGCACAGGTCAGATGCTCAGTGCCGAATGTCATCTTGGTCAGGGAATGGGCACGGCATCTCCTGGCACCTCCCGGAGACGAATGACAAAGTACAGCACCATGCAGTACTCCAGTCAGTAAAGCCTCTGCTGGCACCCCTTCCTGCTGAAATTGCCATTTGCACTGACACTCATTAGCTGCCACACATCAAGAATATTGTTATTATTTATAACTAAGAAAATAGCGCTAAAATTTCAGGGATTCCTATTTGTGTGAGGATCTCTGACAGGTGCCCCATTTTGAGGTCAAATGCACTTTGTCAGTGAAGGGAAAATAGCATTAGCTTTAAATTTTTTTCTTTCTCCCTACCTAGCACTGCAACTGCATAAAGAGACTAGTATTTTTTGAGAGATATCTGATTACTGAGGAGAGCAGTGAGAGGGGATCCTTGCATGCACACAGTATGAATTAATGTCATAGAAAAGCATGTTAAAATCACCAATCACAGCTGAGTGATCTCTCACAATAAGCAGATTTGGGTTAACAGGCCCTTACTGACAAGAGAGGAAAAGAATGTCGTTAAAAATTAGTCAACTCAAGACTAAATAAGCACTTTCAAATGCATCATTTTACTTCACATGTAATTCAAGAAGCGCTACAAAATGGCACTTTCAACTATTTCTCCCATCACCAACAATAGTTATAAATAATAATTATATAAACATAATACACTTTTCTTGCTTTCTGAAGTTCTCATTAAACAAACGCCCTGACACAGCCTGACATGCTGTTCCTGTCATGGTGAGAACAATTTGTCACAGCTGGTGCTGCCACATTGACACTATCACCCAAGAAGATGTTGGCTTCATCCTTTCTCCATTGCCATTACAGCTTTGCTTAAATCTAAAAGGACTTCAGTGACAACCAGGAACTCTTAGTCAGATTTTTGTGCCAAACTATGACTACCATTTAAATTGCCAGTGTCATGTTATATTAAGAGGTCTGTAACATACTATGCCAATTCTTATCTCACATACTGACAAGAAAAGAAAGTATTTGAAGCTTTGTGATGTGAGGAGTCAATAGCAAGTATTGTATTACTGACACTGGCAGCTGAAGTCTTCCTGAAAAGAAAAAAAAAACACTTGGAAGCAATATAAATTTGCTAATAAGCAATGTGGAGAATTTTTATTTCACATGTCAATGTATTTTGCATTGATATTTTGAAAGTTTATTTGAATGTATTAATTGCAAAAGTCTTTATGAGTTTATAAACTTAATTAAATCTGGCTTTTATTTTCCCACAAAAACAGCTTTGCTGGACTCTGTTATTCTAATAATACCTTAACATGTATTAGAATATGATCTGAAGGACCAAAATACTGAAATATATCTTTTATCTCATTTTATTTCTGTATCATATGTATAGTAACCATAGTACACCCAACATTGCTTCAGTGTAAATAAAATAGAGTTATACGGAGGGACTAGCTTTTTTTGCTAGACCGCCAAATCAGTTTTCCTGCAAATTTTGCTTCTTTGGCTTTGACAGATAAGTTAGTGAAAAGTTTAAGAGTTGTCTGTGAACCTCCCACTCTATAAAATGGAAAAGAAACTCAATTGTGTATCCAGACTAACTTACCTCAGAAGGAATGGATGACCAGTTTCTGAGTCTGATACCAAGAAAAGGTTTCTTAAAAGATGTTTTTGGAAATGCAGCTAGACCTGCTGTCAACAACAGCCTGCAGTGCCCCCTGTGTAAATGCCACTGTAAACATCAGTAATCCCTAGAGTCACGACAAATCCAAGGCTACCTCCAGGAAAGGTCCCTTCCATAGCTTCAGGTTCTTTTCTACAGCAACTGATGCTCTCCCCATAAAATCTGATGTATTGCTGGTTTTGCTTCTATCTGTAGCCTTGATTGTCTTAAGTATCACTAAAATTGCATTGACTTCAAAGGGATTAGTCTTTGCTGTAAATCATGTACCAACTGTTAATTATGGTTCCTGGAACCATTCTTTAAAGAAGAAAAATTGGTACTAATATATAAAGCTATATATCCTTTTACATCTTGAGAATTTGTGCAGAAGTTCACTAAAATGCTGACAAACTCCCTTTCATTTTTCTAACGACCTGTTTACATTAAAAAACAAATATTTAAAATATATGACTATCTGGTATATAAAAAGCCTATGTAATACAGCCAAACCCCACTAGAAAATATTTTAATGTAAAAAAAAAAAAAGTCTAGTGTAAATATTTCCATAATCATCTCAAGCAAATCAGAAATACTTTTCTGAATTGTGTTCAAAGTAATGAAGCTAGTCTTCAGGAGCACATGCTGAATTCCATGAACAGGAATGCTGTGTGAAGTATGAGTGTCTGAACTATGGTCTCTTGCATGTCTAGAAATAGGGGAAGAATGAATAGAAAAATATAGAGAAATAGAAAGGTAATAGAAAAATAGAGAAAAATTGTTGTTTCAAAGGACAGATTTTGGTTTTGTGGTGGTTGTCTACTTCTAGTACTATCTTTTACCAACTTTTTAATTATTAATTATTATGTAATACATTTTCTTGAGATATTTTTAGCATCTTTTAATATTGGTTTCTCACAACAAACAGCAATTCCATTATCCTGTGCACTTCTGAATATTAACTCAAATTGCTGTGTAATTTTTACAAACTTCTTAAAAATTGTTTTCTTAGTGAATTGAGGATTCTTTTAGGCTACTACAAATTGTGGAAGAGAAAAATGCAAGCGAAGTTGTGAACAGATACTTGGTTCATTAAAAATTCTGTTCAAATTCTTTTTCTAGCTTTATTGTTCAAAAAATAGCACATAGCTTAATTCTGGCCAGCCGACATTAGTTTTGTTTATTTTCTTCCAGATGCAATTTCAAAGCCTGTTTGCTGTCTTATCTTTAATCGTATTGTTTAATAATGAAGAAGGAATGGTTTTCAGGGAAGAAAGACAGTGGTGATATCAGTTCTGCTCTAAACCGCTCAAGAGAAATGCTCTTACTTAGAGTCAGCAGCATGCAATACCAAGTGTATAGCTTTTTTTTTTTCTTTAACTCGGGTTTATTTGGGAATAGGATCTTACAGTTTTAAACAGGCTCAGTGAGATTTTGGCATGATAAGAAGTATACTGACATGGAAGAAAACAGTCACAAGCTGAGGATCTCATTAGATTTCTATCTTAGGAACACTGTCTCAATTTGAACTGCAAGTTTCAATACTTTTTACTCTGTCCTAATTCTGTGGTAATAAATAACACTTTTAAACTGTTGTGAACAGCACTTACTATGCACAACATGAAAAGGCCAAACAATTTAAGCACCAATTTTTAAAATTCTGCCATTTTGTTTGAATTAACATAACTGCATAATTCAAATGCTCCTCAATGTTGAGTCACCAAATGCATCATTTTAATTTTATTTAAAATATAAGTAATATTACTGTGGGCTTGTGTTTTCATAAATAAAAATATTAGAGGTTTATTTGTAATAATTTCTGAATGGCACTGAAAAAATACAATAAATGATCATTTGGAACATCATGTTTTACATAGAGTGGCTCAGAATATTTTTTTTTTCCATTTATCAGTGGGAAATACAGTTTCCTTAAAACTGATGGGTTTTTTTCAGAAAAAAATCTCCTTCTTTCATGAAAAAAACCAAGAAATTTAGATTTAGAAAGTTGGGTAATTCCAAAACAAAATTATTTCATGTGTCAAATTGACTACAATACTTTATTTCAGGTTGTCAAGCAGAAATGTGTGTCAGGTCTCACAAGAATTACCATACAATTTCCTCAACCCATCATTTTCTGCTTTGTTCTCTCTCTTTAGACAGCCTTTTCTGTGATACCCTTCTGTCCTGCAACTCTGAAACAGTGCTTCAGAGGAGCTATAAATTAATGCTGGACTACAAGCCACAGGGAGGACAGCAGAAGTCTCTAGAAACACAGTATTTGAGCAGCACAGGCATCACAGGTACATTCACTGCATAATGGTCAGAATGAGTTGAACTAAGGAAAAGCACTTTGGTTCTAAAATCAAATTTCTAATGTTTCAGATCGGTGTTCATGATAATAATTTTTTTTGTACAGAGATTTTTTCCAAAAGTTTTATTTGAACTCAGTAAATTACTGCTTTTAAAAATAGTATCATGTATTAAGTAAATGTCATCTAATCTATCATTTTATTTTGCCTTAACACTTTGACATCTTATTTCTGCAGTTTCATACAGAATGATTATGGACACATACATATTTCAGATAATGATTTAAGTGTCTTTTCAGGAAGTTAAAATAAAAAAATGTCCATCTTCAAACTTATAGCAACTTTGCTATCAGTCTGATGATGCTGCCAATTCCAGTGCAAAAAAGATAATTTATCATTTATCTTTAGTGTATTTAGAACCTGTCTAAACAGAAATGAACCAAAGCTATGTTACACATCAGTTTTTATGCTCAAGCAACTTGAGTTGAAATATATGGGTCAATAGACAATGTTATTTCATATTCCAAGTGCACTTAAATTCTCTAAAAAAGGAGAATAATGGCAAAATGACAACTGGTGACAGTTTTAGATGCATGTTTGTATAATGATGAATCTGTCATGTTTTCTTATTGTGACCATATGTTAAACAGCATCTTGTAATTCAGGATGCAGTGAAATAAGCTGTGAAATAGAACAGTCACAAAATGACAACTTAGGAAACAAAAGCTGCTTAGTTGACACCCATCATGTATTCTCACATCTGATGTTCATCACGTGCAGTTGGGCCTACCTGCAAATTTAGATAGTTACCAGTTTAATTTTTTTTCCTACTTTTTGGGAAAGGTCTAAAAAACAACATCAACAAAAAATATTATTACAGGCTTCCTTTCAGCTCCTTCATTAAAGATTACTTTCAAGCCAGCCAAAATCTAGGTAAAACAAATGGTAATTTTTTACCTGCAGGCTTGGATTTTACAGTTTTCCAGTACCAAAGATCTAGGTGAGGGTCTGTTCCTCTGCCAGTCACTGCAGGCTCAGGCTGTCAGAGAGGTGAATTGTGACACCAGAACAGGACTCAAGAGTCAAAGGCTCCCCAGGATTCCCTACAAGATCTTGGTAAGTTGTTTAATTTTTCTGAATTTTCAATAAATTGTCTTTGAAAAGGGGAATTGCAACTTAATCTCTTCCCCTTATGAATACGATTTCAAATTCATTGATGATTGCAAGATGCTCAGGTGTTAAGGCGTTTTGATAACACCCATAAATACATTGTCAGCCAGGTGCCTGAAGCACATATGCAGAGGGACATCTGGAGTCTTTGATGCTGAATGTCTATTATATGAATGCTATTTGACTGTAAAATCCACTCTAGATCAAATGTTTGAATATAAATAGCAAAATAACAGCTATTGGACATGCAAAATTTATAAATACTACTAGGAAAGTAATGCTTTTCTTGTGTTGTTTCTGGGTATGTACATCTGACTTTTATCTTTGTGACCTTCTTAGTTAATATATTACTGAATAAAAGACTCCATGGTAAGCTGTGGGTGCCCCAAGAGCCTTAGAAATGGACTGGAGAAATTCATGTGTAACAGGTCAACAAATACCAACTAAACTGGGACGAAAGGGGAAAAGAGAGGAGGGAAAAATAGACCACAGCACCATCCATTCAAGTAATTACAAGAAAAATGCAGTGCACCACAAAGTTATAAGGTGCGAGTTTACAGCAGCCTTCCAGTACCTGAAGAGGGCCTAGAAGAGAGCTGGAGTGGGACTTTTTACAATGTTATGTAGTGATAGACAATGGAGAATGGCTTTAAACTGAAAGAGGGTTTAGAT